TGTCTGATCAGTTATTCCTCTGAAATACTCTCAAAATGTGAATCCAGTATAGATTTCTAACATAGTGTGAATACTAATTAACACTCATCTAATTAAAGAAGGCCAGGATGTCTGGAGAGTTGTCCCTCAACATAAACATCAAGGAGCCAAGATGGGACCAAGGCACATTCATGGGGCGCGCCAAGCACTTCTTCATGGTCACCGATCCCAGGAACGTCCTGCTGTCCTCTGAGACTCTGGAGGAGGCCCGAGTGATCGTGGAGGACTACAGGTAGAGGGCCAGGAGATAAACGGATGGAGGAGGAGTGTAAATGATCATTTTGTGGGAGTTTGTGGTGGAGGCAAAGGCATGAATAGAAATGGGAATTGATGTGACCAGGAAATAATGAGGCTAGTTCTGTGTCAATGGGAGAAATGTCATTTCCTTAATGGCGGAGCATCAATCTAAAAATCAGTTTCTCATATTTTGAGTAGATAATTCAGTTTCACATACTTTATAAGTAAGAAGTAAGCTTTAAAGTATGTGGAAAAATCTAACTGTTACACCACTCGGTTGTTTTGACTTTTTCAGAGCCGGGAGTGCGAAGCCTGGCCTGACGGAGGATGAGCTCTGGAGAGCCAAGTACGTCTACGACTCCGCCTTCCACCCCGACACGGGGGAGAAGATGGTTGTCGTTGGCCGGATGTCTGCTCAGGTGCCAATGAACATGTCCATCACAGGCTGCATGCTCACCTTCTACAGGTACAGCAGAGGTTTCGACACATGATTCAGTTTATTCTGAACACCAAAGTGAAAATGACTTCATTAAAAAAATAGAAGAAATAGGAATATGAAAATCTGCCAATATGATACCGTTTCCATGTGATTTAAAAAACTTACCCTTAATACAGCATGCAGCTAGATTTTAATCCCTGCACAGAGTGAAAATCCTCTTAAAGAATAAAAAAAAATCTCACTCTCACTGCAGAATACTGATGAATCATTGGGCAGCTAAAAGGAAAGAGAAGTCATGTGATAATGTGCTGAAAAAACAAATTGATTAACAATAAAAACTAAAATTCCTATTTACAAATGTGAGACATTTATCAGTTGGAGATTGTTTGATATTAGATAAAAATATCAGAAATTATTGAGCCATTCATATAACTGTCTTGATGAGAAGAGTTGATCAAAAGTGGAATTATGAATAATTAATTAACTTATTTATTTAATATTAAAGACTTTAGTACTCCATATTTTACATCATAAGAATATGTTATATTACTTATTTTTTTGGTGATCAGACTCCAGTGGTAAGTCGTCTACCACAGTGTCATTACAGCATACTACCACTGGAGGGTGGCAGAGTCTGAAATTTCAAATTCCACCCACGGTAGCTTTAAATGGGCAAAAAACAAACATCAGATTATTCATCGGGGGAAAGACTATGCAAAATACTCACAGGTTCATCTGTATGAGTGATTAAAAAGACCAAATCAGAGAGTTTTAATTTAAAACACTGTTCAGTTCATAAGGTACAAACATATAAAGGGATAAAGTATAAATCCAGAATGTGTCACTGGTTAACAGTCGGGTGTAAGAGTAAATGTTGTTACATGGTTTAAATAAATAAACTTGTGACTTGACTTGTCAGACATAACCAAACAAGATGGTCTACACTTCACAGTTGTATAAAAGAGAACATCTCTAGCCACATGTGTTTACTGTGGTTTATGATGCTCCACTGCACAAACGGATGTGTCTTGTGTCGAAGTTTTATTTAAATCTAAACTGCTGAGTTGACTGATAACGTAGATAAGTGGTGGTTTCAGTGTGAAATACGTACGTACACGCACTGTGTTTTTATAATAAATAAATTCCACACTCTCACACTATTCATATTTCAAGTTAAATTTTATTTGTATAGGCCATGTCATACAGAGTGTATTCAGGACACTTTTCAAATAGAGCAGGTTTAGAACCAACTCCTTTTACCGTTACAGAGACCCAACAGTCCCACCATGAGCAGCACTTGGACGGGGGCAAGGAAAAACTGCTTTTAATCAGGCAGAAACTAGGCAAGGACCCCTTCAGCTCTAGCGGGTGGGTGGTGTCTGTCTCGGACCAGTTGGGGTGAGAGAGATAGAGAGAGAGACAGAGAGAGAGACAGACAACTGCACACAAAAATATATAATCTGCAGACAGTTATGATGAATGCAACTGTAAAATTGTGTTCACTGTTGTTCTCTCGCGTTTACAGGACTACTCCGGCAGTGGTGTTCTGGCAGTGGGTTAACCAGTCCTTCAACGCTGTCGTCAACTACACCAACCGCAGTGGAGATGCCCCCATGACCGTGAAGTAGGGAGGACTTCTCACTTCACATCCACTCTAGATCATTCCTGTCCTCCGTCTAAACTAGTGTCTGTAAGGAGGCTGTGGGAGCTGCCCTCCTCTCCCCTTCCCTCACAGCGGTATTACGTTCCACTGTTAAGCATGTTCAGCCCCATGTCACCATGCACTCATGCTGACATAGGTTATCTGCTCCCCGGGTTGATGTCATCAGGTCATCATGCACATGTTTGCATTCTCTTTTTATTGTGCTACAAAATGCATCCTTTAGATGCTGCAGAAATAAATCAAATGCATGCATTTATGAAGAAAAGGATGGTTGCCTTCAGAACATGCAAATGCACATTCATGGATTACGCATGTCATTGGGGATGAATGTTATAGTGTCTTCCTCTATCCTACCATTATTTATGAGGATGTTCTTGTTTTTTACCTTTGCATATTTATACATAGCATGAATTTGCACTCTTACTGAGGCAACTGTGCTTGAAATGTCTCATTTTAGATTCTCAGCCTCAGTCCTATGCTTTATCACAAGACAGCTGTTTATATTTGCAAAAATAATGTGTGAAATAGGAAGTGGTTGATATATGTCTAATGCATCTGTCTCCTCACAGTCAGCTTGGTGTAGCCTACGTCAGTGCTACTACTGGAGCTGTGGTTACTGCCCTGGGACTCAAGTCTCTAGCTACGGTAATGCCTGTGGTAGTAAAACAGAATTAACTCAGATACACACACTAATCTGTTTGTATATTTGTGCAGAGATTTGATACTGGTTGTCTGAATCTGTCGCTGATTCGGTCTCATCTTTGCAGCGTCTCCCTCCAATCGCCAGCCGGTTTGTCCCTTTTGCTGCTGTTGCTGCTGCTAACTGTATCAACATTCCCTTTATGAGGCAGAGGTGAGATCTTTTAAAGTAAAAGCCACTGACCTCTGCTTTGTTTACTCAAGAGCTTTTATGAACTGTGATCACGGCTACAACTGGTCTTTATTTACTTTTATTACTTTTTATCACCCACTTCTTCCAGGGAGTTGAAGTACGGTATTCCTGTGACAGATGAGAACGATAACAGGTTAGGAGAGTCTCCCAATGCTGCCAAGCAGGCCATCATGCAGGTGGTGGTGTCAAGGATTGGCATGGCAGTGCCAGCTATGGGTAATGTCAACATTATTATATCTGCAGGTTTATTAAAGCAGCTGTAATTGATATTTTTATTCTAACCGAGTCAAATGATGGGAAAACGTTATCACCTGAATCTACAGCTCCTCTCGGCTTTATAGACAGTACTTCCCTCAGGAGTTGATAGAGACAAAAACAGAGCTAAAAGAGAGTGAATACAGGACTTAAATAAGCAACTGTTTGCTAACAAGTTTGCCATATTAATCTTAAGGGTTATAGTGTGTCTGTGTTCAGCTTCCAAGTTATTGCAAGTTCAATTGATACTTTACTTGTGGATCTAAAACTATACTGTGGTTGAAAATATGAATGACATTGCGGAAAAAACTCAACAGCTAGATAACAGTTGATGTCATGATGTATACTAAAGCGAACTAACGCGTTTTTGTTGTTCGTGACGCAGAACACTTAACCTGACTCATTCTTACTTTTTACAGCTATTCCCCCTGTAATAATGAATGCTCTGGAGAAGAGAGCTTTCATGAAGGTAAGCAGACTGCATACATGCTGTTGTTTGTGTAGTCAGTGGATTTACTGGGTCTGCTCGTGTTTTGTGAGGCTGAAAGGAGTCCCGCCGCATTCCACGTTACACATACATTGAATGCTTATGTCCCTGCAGACAAACTTCCGATTTGTCTGCCTGATTCACTGCAGTTGTGTTTTCTCTGTTTTTGTCTCTCTGTAGCGATTCCCAATTCTGAACGCTCCAGTCCAAGTGGGACTCGTTGGTCTGTGGTAAGTAAATTACACATAATAGTATGTATGATCGTTTTTTTTATGGACTTGCAAGTTCCTGAACAAGTGACACAGTCTGAAACATCCCTCTCTACCTCTTGTTCTCAGCCTGGTGTTTGCAACTCCTCTGTGCTGCGCGCTCTTCCCACAGAAAAGGTAACAACAGCCACATCACTCGTCTTGGAGAGGGGAGGTTATACTTGTACGTGAAGTGTTATCCAACATGTAGCAGCGTTTTTAAAAAAAAAATCATGTTCAACCATCTCTTTGTAGCTCTATGAGCGTGAGTGGGCTGGAAGCAGAGCTGCAGGAGACGATACGAAAGGCCAGTCCCAACACCACCACTGTCTACTTCAACAAAGGCCTGTAGGACCAGCCAACACATCTCTACACACACACGCACAAGACATACAGAAAACATACACATTTATACACACGTCTGTTGTCCTCCGGTACAAGTGGAAGGGCAAAACAAAGTTTATTTATGCATTTTTTTTTATTATCTGTACTGCTGCATTTTTTTCATTTGACTGCATGGGAGGACTGCACTCCAGGTGTAAGGGTAGAAGATTGACTAAAGGGAAAACACTTTTGAGAAGGAAGATCACTGACAGTTCTCTCTGCACATAGATGACACTCCTTAGAAAAGAAAAAAAACCCGACTCCTGATTTGTTTTGTTTGTTTTGTGCTGTGTTTTCTGTCTTCCTTTGGTTAAAACTGCCTATTGGGTGGCAGTTCATGAGGTTACTGATTTGTGTTTCACTCACCAATATTTCGTGTTGCATTCAGGTTCATGCTATATCCTCTAATACATTATGTGTAACTTCAGTTTAAAATTAAGGCTTGTGCTTGTACGTCGTGTATGTAATTGCTTCTGAATGTAAACTTCCTTTTTTGCCTTGTGTCTTCCCTCACTTAGATTTCCTCTTTCCAATTCTTGCCTATTCATCATTATTCTGTAATATTTTAAGCTATTATACACTGACTATAGCATGTGTATATTCTTGCCACCAATTAATTTCCACCACATACTCATATCGGAAAAACCGGTGTGTTAATTAGCTCTACATTGTCTGACCCTTGATGAATTTAGTTTTTTGTTGTACTCCCTGTTAACAGGTGCAGCTTCTTACTCTCTTCAACTCTCCTTTAAGTGTACTTATGCCCTTCAAAGTCATAGACCAGGTATTGAGGTACATGTGGCAAAGAAAATATGTAGAAATTATACTGCAAAAGCTCACAAAGCACAGATCTAGAAGGCATCATTGAACACTATCAGTGATTTTTATCAACATAAATATGTACTGTTGCCATGTTAGTGGCAACCTGTTGTTCAAGGCCTTTTATTATTTGAGATCACTTTATGAACTAGTGCAGTTGCTATATTAGTGGCATATTGATGAATTCTTTGATTGTTGTAGGTGGTGATGCTTGTTTGGTGGTTGTCATGTGGAGGAATATACTGCGTTGTGTCTACATGTTGTTGCTAAGACATTTGTGTGTTTAAACACGGTGACATGCAGAAAATGGACAGCACTGTAAAGCTTTGAAACTGAGGTTTTTGTTTAATGTCCACACTTGAACTGAAGGATTGCTTGAGCAAGCTAAGACAAGTCAAAGCTGTCTAATTTCAGTTCCAGTTATGTGCAACAGCTAGCTAGCTTTCTGCAACACTGTGGTTTGCACTATAGCCACTGATGTATCATTGTACCAAATGAAAGTAGCTAATGTTGCGTGACAAAGTCAAAAATACTAAATGCTTATTTCTAGGTCAGGGACAGTAACCGTGTGCCGTCTTTAGCCGAGTTTCAGCTTCTCTGATCAAATTCTTTCACGTTATCGACCCAGTTCTCCAAACACGACTGTCCGGTGTAGTTATAGTGATAGTTGATGGTGTACGTGAGGAAATATCAGCTGAATTATCTCAGTGTTGTCTGCCTGAATTATTTAAGAATATATTTTTATTGGATATATTTATAAATATATATATATATATATATAATGCACAATACATGGAGCACATATGCATGAAGGATTTTAGAGATATTAACTTCTAGGTGTGACTGGTAGTTAATACACCAGATGGCCCAACCTATGCATTGGAAAAACAATGTCAGCTGCTGGTTTTACAGGAGTACAGAGGTGTGCTGTAAATGAGTGTGCGCCTCTTGCTTTAGGGCTAATGAGTTCTCAGATTAGAGGAGTGTCCCTCTTGTCGGACTTAACTTGATTCAGTGAACAGAGTCGATGTTTGTGTAAAGTGATGTTTTGTGTGTGTTGGTGCAAAAAACAACAACTACCCAACAGTAAGATTGTACAGGTCGTACTTCACTAATCTCCATGGAACATCAGCAGTCACTTGAATTTATGTTTCTGAAATTTGAAGTTGTATGACCATAAATTGAAAGTAAACTGATCGTGGGTGTTAAAGGACTGTAGCAACTGCACAACTGTTACATTTTTATGAATCAACTTCATTACAGACAGAAATACACAATGATTGTGTTAATATATGATCCTTAAATTTAAGGGTTTAATTCCAAGGTGCTATCCAGATTGTTGCCACCAGAAATGTACCACATTTTAAAAGACATATATACAACCCTATCCTGAAAGAAAGTGTCGTGATGTGACACCTTTACTTACTTCTGTATGAAAATGTGGATTATTTTTAAATGGATATCTAATTTTGGAATGAAACTCTCTTCCTCTCTCTCTCTCTCTTCATTGTCATTCATATTTTAATGCTATACTATTATAACGTTTAACCCACTGAGCAACAATCAGACAAGACATTTCTGTTCTGTTATCAATGCTGATAGTGGTTATCGTGTGTTGTGTTAGGGGTGTTTTCCTGCTGAGGGTGAAACTGCACTATATAACCTTTGCTGTGCTGCTGTAGGCGCTAGTTGGATTTGTGTCGCTATTTAAAATGCGCTTCTTAAAGTGTATATTTGACGATTGTATTTAATGCTGGATAATGTTGAATGAATTATGGTTACTGCTAAATTAATAATTCATTTATTGTCTGGCAGCTTTCATTGCTCATAACCAAGTAGATACATTTCTACTTTTTTTTTCTCCCCTTGTGTTTTTCTGCTTTTTGAATTATGGCGTAAAAGTGTCAAGAACAAAACTGGAGGGTTTTAGTCGGCAGTTAAACACATTTGTAAACGTGTATCTCAGCTTGTGACTGTACTGTACCACCATAACGTGTCACACCCATAGATCTAGCCAAAGATGAGACGGGTATGAATTGTACAGGATTGAGGTGAAGAAGTGTGTAGATTTTTTTTTTTTTAAGTTTTCATTTGTCAGCTTTATGGTATGGACATTTTTCCAGGCTTTTCTCGTGCAAAAACGTGTTCTTTTTCTTTTTGTTTTTACAAAAGGTCTCAAACGCACCAAATTCTTCAATAACCTCACAAGTTATTGTCATTAACACACAATTAACTGGTCGAACATCTAAATAAATCCCAACACATTTTAGTTAAAGCTCATATTTCTGGCATTTTCATTTATTTTGAATAAAATATCAAAATAAACTTGACTTTACTCCACATTGCACCAGTGAATGTTGGTGCACTGGTTGAAAACTCACTAATGTATAGGTTTGGTTGTGCATGCCATGAAAAATCTTTGCAGACTAAAGGCACAAATGTAAAGACAATCTGTTATTGTTACACTCATGAATGTTTTGGTTGTTCTACGTACATACATGCAGTCCTGTCAGTATTGGTACACAGTGTTTTCTCCCTGTTTTGTATTGTGTTGGAATATATTTCCTTGATGTGAAATGTATTTTACTCAGAGCAATAGAATAAAATATGTAACATTAATGTCTAAACCTGTCTGCTTAATTTGATATTATTATAGAGTGTATGTTAGAAATACCTTTTTAAATATTGTTCTCCTGCTCACAAGGAAAGGCAAAAAAATTTTAACAAGTGACTAATACTGTTACCAAGTACTGATCTGATAAAAACAGGAAATGACAGCTAAAGCTGTTGATGTGAACTGTTACTTTGTATGTTTCTAGTGAATAGCCCAGTTCAAACACAAAGTACAAACATGACTGTTTACAAGTCTACAGTAAGTCTACTGATAGTGGATGTCTTGGTTTGGATGTCAGAGGATAAAATAATTCACAGGATTAGTGATTTTTAAATTTGACGTTTGGACCTATCCATTTTAACAGAAAGTGAGAACTTTGCCTTCAGTTTCCAGTCACAGTAGGTTGATATTCTGTTTCTGTAGCTATAACAAATTCAGATTAAATAATGGTTTTATTTAGAAAAATGTGTGTTTAGAAAACGAAGTGATGATTTTGCTCATTTTAGTTGTTTTATCGTATATTTAGTGCTACTGGACAGTTTACAGGACCTGATGACTAAGCCATTGGACTGTTAATTAAACTGAAGGCAAAAGGGAGAGGGGGTATGCAATTGAAATTATAGCAGTATTTGTAGATATATATAAAAATAACTAGACTCAGACTTATCTCTCATACAAATGAGAAGTCTGAAGGTTTTTAAGTAGAATAATCTTGAAGTGCAAACTCTTACCATCAGATATAAAAGGATAAGAACCTACATAATGTATAAATTCAGAACAAATATCTGCATCGTAGGTGTCTGGTTATACAGTTTGGTTACTGTAAATAAATCCACACCAGCCAGCCAATCAGAATTGAGTATTTCTGTCTGAATAAATACAATGACATCCATAAGAAGTTGTTATTTTGCTGTGCTTGCTGAGAATCTATTACCAACACTGTAAATTGTGTCAAGTGTTACCCCAACATACAGGTAAAATCTTAAAATAACAACACACAGGAGCACAGTGAAGATATGGTGATGAGGTTTT